GGCTTAGTATAATAACGCCGGTCCACAAGGGTAAAGGGTCCGTTCAGGATTGCGGTAATTACCGCGGTATAAAGGTGACGTCACACACCATGAAGCTCTTCGAGCGCATTATTGAAACCAGGATCCGACAGGAGTGTACAGTATCGGACTCTCAGTACGGTTTCAAACAAGCACGCGGTACCATGAACCCTATATTCGCCCTAAGGATCCTCATGGAGAAGCATAGGGAAAAGAATATGCCTCTGCATTTTTTATTCCTAAACTTGCAGAAGGCCTTTGACTATGTTCCTAGGGAGATGATCTGGTGGGCGTTGCGGTCGAAGTTGGTACTAGAGACCTACGTGGAAATCGTACGTGATATGTACCGCAACTCCGATTCAATAGTCAGAACCGCTGTTGATGATACCACCCCCTTCCCCCGTAACCGTAGGCGTGCATCAGGGCTTCGTCTTAAGCCCCTATCTCTTCAGTGTGATATTAGACGAACTGTCAGCCAGCGTACAGAAAATACCGCAGCCTTGGCTGCTTATGTACGCTGATGATATCGCACTGGTAGATGGGGACAAAGAACGGCTCACCAGATGCGTGCACGCATGGAGGGAGGCGCTTGAGAACGGCGGGCTGAAGCTAAATGTGGCGAAGACAGAGTATATGGCCTGCAGCAGCACAGATCTGACGTTTCTCCGTATAGGCGACGATACCGTCGAGCGCACGGACAACTTCAGGAACCTCGGATCGGTGCATGATGCGTCCTCGGACATCGATCGCGACATCAAGGCCCGTATATCAGCGGCAATTTGTGACCCCAAATGCCGGTCAAGCTGAAGGGACAGGTCTATAAGACCATCATAAGGCCTGTCCTTACGTACGGCAGTGAAGCGTGGCCGGTGCTAGAGCGACACCGGCAGTTGTTCCATGTCGCGGAGATGAACATGCTGCGGTGGATGTGTGGCGTCACGCGGAAAGACCATGTACTGAATACATACATCCGCGGCAGCCTCCATGTCCGTGACATTGCTGACAAACTCCAGGAAAGTCGCCTCCGCTGTTACGGCCACGTCTTACGACGACCGGCAAGCTACGTGGGAAACAAATGCCTGCACATGACCCTACCTGGTACCAGGAGTAGAGGACGGCCCAAAAAACGCTGGCTTGATGTCGTGCAGGATGACATGCACGCCAATGGGCTAGTTGCGAGGGACGCCGAAGACCGGGCAAAGTGGAGGAGGAAGTGTAGGAAAGCGGACCCTGGATTCTCCCGCGCTGGGCGGGATGAGCAACCGGGATAAACGCTAGGTAGAAGAAGAAGATTATCAAAGTAGGCCCAGTGGTTTACAAACCAATAATTTGTTTTTAAATGGTTAAAGAGAAACAATCTTTCATTATAAGTTGGACAAAAGAGATTTACTTTAAGGTTAGAACTTATTATATAGTGCAGAGTTCCCCAAACTTTTTAGTGTCGTATTGCCATGTTTTTCCCCTTGCCATGTTTTTCCGTGTTGGGTAGACCCCCTACTTACCTGATATTGATTTCCTTTAAATTTGTAACTGTAGTGAAGTTTAGTGTTAAAAACTTAAAGTAAAAACACATGTTAATTTATATATTTATTAATTGTTTTAAATTAAAACTACTCAAAATAAAATTTTGTATCTGTTATGTAAAATATACGTAGAATTAAATAAACATAAATTAAACTATAAATAAAATAACATAAGCAATAAGTCAATATTTTTAGTGAGAAGGATGAACCTGATGCTTTAATAATAAATTATCAACATTTGGCGTCAACATAATGATTTCTCATATTTACGCGAACATTGCACATAATTAAAACGCACGTCAAGCAAGTTCTGCACGACAACAAGCTTCGGGTCCCGCGCCTACGTCACAGTGACCGAGTGAAGCCGGCCACAGTCGAGCGTGTGCCTGCTGTACTACCATATGTCAGAGGTGTCATAGACAAGATTGGCTATATCTTGAAGCGAGCTTCTATTAGAACATTCTACAAGCCGCCGAAGAAGATTAGTCAGTTCCTACCATCCGTCAAGTGTCATATTCCTCTACAAGATGCAGGAGTGTACAAGCTTGATTGTGAATGTGGTCTCTCTTATATAGGACAAACCAAAAGATCAATTAGGACCCGCGTAAAAGAACATATAGCTGATGTGAAGCATCAACGTTCCGGGAAGTCTGCAGTTTGTGATCATATCCCAGACGGCCCCAACCATTACATCAGATTTGATAGACCACAAATCATCGCGAAAGAACACCGATTCCTACCAAGGATGATACGTGAGGCTATTGAAATTAAAAAAACATCCTAATTTCAATAGAGAAGGAGGCTGGGTACTACCACCTGCTTGGGATCCTATAATCAATAAAATTAAAACTAAACCCAAGCATACCACTGCAAGACCTCAGGACATAGTCAGTTCATTTTGCATAGATCGGACCATAAACAATAATTAAAAAAGCTGAAGGTACTCCGGGTTTAACAATGACATCGGGACGTCAGTCATCTCAGTCCCCCCGTGACCATGGGTGCTGGAAAGCGCCCAAAACGTCGGGAATTAAAAATAAAAAGTAAAAATAAACGCGATAAAATTCGTAAAAGTAGTTTTAATCATTTGGCGTCAATTTTGTAAGGGTTAATCTTAAATCTCCTCGGCTAATGATGTCCAGTCTGTTTCTTTTTTCGTTAGGAGAATGGTAACAGCGCTGAACCCCCCTTTCCACTAGGTATGACGATAGAAAGGAAATTAAAAAATTTCCTCGCTTATTATTATTCCTCGCTTAGTATTATTACATAATACGGGATAAGTAACGGGTATGTTGTTTTGCAGCCAGAATTGCTGATATCCGTTTTTAAACTGAAACTTAAGTTCTTCGTTTGTACTTAGTTCAGTCAGTTCCTCTTGTATTATGACATTCGTTTCTTCTATGTCACCATATGGATTAATTATCCACGCTGGTATTACCATAGTCAAAATATCCTCAAACTTAATATATCGAAATAGAGGACATTTAAATGTTGAACGTAAGTTGAAACGTCGTCTTCTTGGCAGTTTGTTTGTGACAAATTGGGGAACTGAGAAAATTCGCCCCGTCCAATATTTTGCTTCATTAGTTTAACTCTGGCAAGAAACGTTGATAACATGGACTTTGTTTTAATCAAATTTAAACTGTCGCCTTGTAATTGCAAATTAACCATATTAAATTTTGTAAACAAATCTGTTAAATAGGCGATGTCTGTTTTCCTCTTCATTATTTTTTTTTAATTTTATCTTTCGTATCCAGAAATTCTAAAATAGTCTCAAAAAGGGCAAAAAAATCTTGTCAAACATAAGCCTTTCGACAGCCAGCGTACTTCAGTGTGAAGGAGTAATTGATGAAAGTGTTCGTCATTTTCTTCACACAACTGCGCAAATAACCGCGTATTAAACGCGTTGCTTCGGATTCGGTTTACTACATCAATGACTAAATGAAGTGATTCATGCAATCTAACACTCAAATTTTTAGCAACTATATGTTGTCGATGGATGACGGAATGTATTGCTAACACCCCTGACACATTTTGTTTTAAATAGCTTATAAATCCACGATAACGTCCAACTATGGCAGGTGCTCCATCTGTAGCTACTGATAATATATTTCAGAAAAGAATTGCTTTTTCAATGAAGTAATCTTTCAAAACATGAATCACACCTTTAGTGTCGGTTATCAAAGTTCTTGCGAAGAGCAGTTCTTCGAAGATTTCTTGATTCATAATAAAACGAACATATGCCAATAATAATGCTGCATTATCAGGTAAAGTTGACTCGTCCAGTTGTATAGAGAAATGGGTCGTTTGCAAATAATTACATAATAAGCTTTTAATATCAGAACTCATTTCATCAATACGTCGTTCAACGGTATTGTTGCTTAAGGGAATTCTTTTAATGATATCAGATGCAGGTTTGTGTAAAACACTTTTTAAAACCTCTTCAACGGCTGGCAAAATTTACTTCTCTCCGATAGTATGCGGTCATCCCACAACTTACACAATTTTATAAACATATATAATAAATTTTTTTACTTCAGAGGTACTTTTATAAATAATGTATATGTTTTGATATTATAAGATAGTATGATGTAAGTAAATAGGTACTATCAGTGTATGTGTTGAGACCCCCATTTTCATTTCATGGACCCCCAAATTTTTTTTCGCTGACGTAAACCCCTTGCAGGTTGTCATAGACACCTAGGGTCGATATAGACCACTTTGGGAATCACTGATATAGTGTATATGTATATTGTATATGTTACAGCCAAAGTAACAAATCCGGATATTATACATATTATCTAGCCGTTATTTATAATGTCTACTCAATTTAAATGAAGTGATAATTGACACAGAATTAATCGCATTAACTAGCAATTTTATATAATATCTTCGAAGACTTGGATAATGTAATAAAACAAGTATGTAGGTATATGTAAATTTTATAAAATTATATTTCAATTTGCCTCAATCATATGTAATTATATGTGTAGCAAGTAGTTATGGTATTATATATTTTGGTAATATATAATACCATAACTACTTGCTACACATATAATTACCATTAAAATGTATACCAAATATATTATATATATTTTGGAAATAATAGAAAAGTAATAATTAAAATGTTTATTTTAACAATAAAATAATATCGTCACAGATAACAATTCTACGTTAATTAACATTGATAAAAATTATTTAACTTTAAATACTTTAATTTATAAAGTAAATTTAAAGTACTAGCCATATCATAAAACAAGATTTAAAAAAAAACACAGAGATCAGTACAAGTATTTGATATCACTCTTTAAAGACTACAATAATAAAATATTTAAAATGAACTGACATGAATTAATTGGGTAATAATTATTATTTATTCTTACAAGTAAGGCTCTTGTTACATTTTGAGTTACACATGAGGTTTGACTTTTTACATTTACACCTATCAGAAACGCATTCTCAAGTACAATTCCAATGCAGAAATCCTTGGCCGCCAAGATGTGACTCTTTTTTTTGCACATTCTCTGATGGTAACTTCATGTTGGGGAACAATATCAACTGTAATAAACTGATGAATTGATTCCTTGCGTAAAGTTGAATCCCATGCTCAGTGCCTAACTTACACATTCCTTTTGTCTCCTGAGAAATTATAACAGCCATAATGTTTCTATCATCGGCTTTGGCGCGGTCTACATCAGGAATTTTTACCACTACATTATCGCCTGTATTAGCAGCAGGATATTTTACCGAAGATAGAGCTAACATTTTATCTGCTTGCTTTTTCAGAGATTGTCCAACTAATTTTCTGATGTTTCCTATATCTTGTTTCTTTTTATCGAGAGCAATTACTATTTCTTGGTCACTTTGCGTTATTTTTGACGGATCTGTAGTATTTCCTTGGTTTTCGGTCTCTTTATCAGATTTTTTCTGCCAGGTTATTTGGAATTTTATTTTGCGAATCAGTATTTAAAATTGTAGTATCGCTTTCTATTTCTTCATCTCCATTAATAACAGCGTTGGTAATATTGGGTTCGGTTTCCCTCTCCTCATTCAACTAGTTTTCGACTTCATTCAGTATAGATTCTAGCTCTTCTTCTGTTGACAGTTCAACTAGCGCATCATTAGGAAGACTATTTAATCCGACTTTAGCTTTACAGCCAAACATTGCTTCGTAAGGGCTACGATTTATTCCTGAGTGATACGCTCTGTTCTTCATAAATTGAATAAAACGTAATCCTTCAGACCATTTTGTAGTCTTGTTAGATTCCAGCCAAGTACAAACGATCTTCTCTACGTCTTGGTTAGCCCTTTCAACAGACCCTTATAATCACAAGAAGAAGAGAGTGTCGGGGATTACCATGAACGATTTTTAATTCCGGCTACATCATACAGACTTCTTTGACCACTTTGTTAGCAAATTCCCTACCATTATCGCTTTGCAAAATACTAGGCACTCTGAATGTAGTAAAAATGTCAAGTAAATGATACGCTACCTCTTCTGCTCGTTTGATTTTAACGACCGCAGCTGCACGAATTTTATTAGGTGATCCTTGATATACCATGATGAATTACAATCACCATCACCTTGTGATTGCATGTCTATTAGATCAACTTGGCACCTTGAATTAAACTCGTTGCTGATAATCGGTTTTACAACAAGACCTTTTTTGGCAAACTTTTATTTTCTGACAAGATTCACACAGATTCAAATACACTGTGACGAGTTCAGCAGTTACATTTTTATATATTAATTTTAACTCTTTCATCATTCTGACTCCACCGCCGTATCCAATACTAATATGACAGTCGTGGATTATTTGAAAAGTTTCGTCTAAGTGAACATAGTAAATAATGGGATCACCTTCGTTTCTCACCGGAATAATTAGTTTTTCTGATGCTCCAATTTTAACGACATCGTATCTTGCTAAGCGCTGGTAATCTTCTGGTGTTTTCTTAGTAATCTTGTTCTTTGATTCTTTTGATTTTAAAATTAAAGACAAATATTGATCATTTGTAAACAACTGATTATTTTTTCCTTTACTTGCAATAAGTACAGTGGTAGTTTCATAGAAACGTTTTTTCATTTCATCTGCCATCATCAGACACTGATAAAAATGTAAAAACTCGCGGAAATTGCGGCACACACTGCGCGACCTCTCATGACAAAACGACAACGAACACCATTGCGTCAGCTACGAAATCGCTGTGATCACCCCACGCGGCAGCGGGATGAAGAGCGGGAACCCCTCCCGCTAACAAGTCAGTTACACCGTATTTATTACTTTGGCTAACTTTGACCCGCTATTATAAATAATATCCGGATAAAGTGATTAATTTATCATATTGTCTATTCAATTTTGCTATTATATATAATGACCAGTCATTATGTATAATAGCTATTTAATCACTATGACTGTAACATATACATACCGCAAAATATACTTTACTGCGAGTTTCGGCAACCTAAATAATAGGTTGGTGAGCTGTTGCACTGAGAACACTTTTTCTATTTTCTTTATCCGCCATTGCAGCGTAGTTTTTAGAGTGACTATTTCGTTTTTCACTACGAATCACTGACTAACACATTGCATATCATATAAACGAAGGATTTATATTTTATATTAATCTCAACTCGACATCGTAAACTTGCAAAACCTTGGAAAAAGACACAAGCAACACCAACACAACAACCGATCATGAACAACAATAATTTTTTCAGGTATACAAAAAGTACTCTGTGAATAATTTATACGTCGGCGTGGCGCCATAGCCATATTATGAAAAGATTTTTTTTGGAGTTTATGGCCTGGTATTTATGAGAAGAATTATATACTTACTTATACAGATGTTTTGGTGCTACCAGAAAAAATACCTATAATTTTCTACTCTTTGAAAATCAAAACAAAATGAAAATGTAGCGGCGCTGTCGTCGCGCCACTAGCACAAGCGAAATACACCGAAGCCTAAATCACGCTATCAACATTCCGAATCATAACAAGTATATATAGAACATCTCCGAACTATCACACTGAGTGTCGGCCGCTCCCCGGGCAGAACACCTTGCCCGGCGGGAGATCTCCCCTTTTCCTCACCGGCCACAGTGGTGACTAACCGACGTGATCTGAACACGGCAACCCAACAACCTTCGGAAACTTCAAGCTTCATCATCGTCATAAAATACCCCACCCATTCGCTCCCGAGCAGATATCGTCTGCAGTCTTCATATCCTGCAAACCATCTAGCTTCACAAGGTTCATCGCAGCACTGAAATAATAATGCTTCCTGTTCCTTCAAGCTACTCTCAGCGCTATACAGTGTTCAGCACGGCTCTGAGCCTTATTGCTCGCCTCTGCTTCACGGCACTCTCGCAGATCACTTGCCTTCTTCTTGACTCACCGCAGACTACAAGGCAATCTCCCGGCACTTGCACATTCGTCGGCAACGAGGCTGCACTATCGACCTCCGGTCTGAGCAGGGGGTAATGTAGCGGCGCTGTCGTCGCGCCACTAGCACAAGCGAAATACACCGAAGCCTAAATCACGCTATCAACATTCCGAATTATAAACAGTATATATAGAACATCTCCGAACTATCACACTGAGTGTCGGCCGCTCCCCGGGCAGAACACCTTGCCCGGCGGGAGATATCCCCTTTTCCTCACCGGCCACAAAAACATTTATTTTTCTTTTACTGTCAATGATATGCTAATTTATTAACGTAGAAAAATGCGACAGGGATATTTATCTTCCTATAGATAATTATTTCTATATTCAAAATTTCAGAGTGTAATTTATCTTTAGCAAAATCTTACTTATTATGAAACCAGATATTTATCTGACAAATGGCAATAATAAAATTCAGCCCCCGTAGGTATTTCATTCTGTCTATACAGAGTTGACCGGACCTGGTATGGTCACTCGCTAGGCACTTGTAGAGTTGTCACGTGTTGTGTTAATTCTAAAAAATCTCTTGATAAAAATATGCCGTGTACGTGTACTTCGATATTGCATAAATAATTTAAGAAATGTCAGTAAAATCAGGAAATTACTTTTCATCGGTTAATAAGATACTTAACCAATAAAAAGTATTAAAAAAATTATTCCTATGACGCCATCTCGTGTCATGGAATATAGATTATAAAATTAATTTGTTCAGATGCGACATTTCTGTGGGTACTAAAAATATAGGACGAATATATTATTATGCACATTTTTTTGTAGAAATATATATAAGTAATCGTAATAAGGCTAAATTTTTTTATATTTAAATTAGCTCATTATTAATATTAATATTATTTTATTTTTAGGTTTCCACATCAAAGTCAAAGTGGAATAAATTCGTCCATTTTTAACTCTCGTGTGCCCAGCGTTTATGAACGACTCTTATTCTAATTTAAATAAATATATTTGTAATTTAAATGCTATATTAATAAGTTTTATGAAACATACATTTAGTATGTTCTTGTTATATTTGACATAGATACCTTTTAAAATATTAAGATAAAAATATCATTAAAATGTAATTGTGATATAATGTTATGTAATATTATATTAAACAAGCAAATATAATATACAAAATAAAAGACAAAATTTAATAGTTGTTTTCGATATAATCTACCTATTTAACATGTCAATATATTATTACCTACGGATCATTCTACCTTATTCTATTCTATGATAAAAAACAACCGCGCGAACACAGAGTAGCGCACATTTTTTTGTTTGAAATAGCTGTTCTAGTACGTAAGTACATATTACTTTAATGGGAAAGTGGGCACACTTCTTTGAAGATTAATTAAGGATGAAATTACTATTGTAACTATTAAGGTGACATACTAGTTGTTAGGTTAAGCTTGTGATATTGCTTATTCAATAACAAAGAATAAAACTATACTCATATGAAAAATTTTTTCGAGTCAGTCATTAAAATTCAAAAAAAAAATTTTCATAGTAGGTCCACGGTGCAGTCATGTTATATGACCGGTGCGGGACTACTCTCTTACAGAATACCAGTATACAATAGCAGCTTAATAAATAAGCTGCTGCATTTCGCATGGTGAGTGCAGAGAACCGGTTTTTACTGAAAACGAGGCATTTTATTTTTTATAGCATTGTGTGACAAACGAACAAACAATCCTCCTGATTGTAAATGGATGCTGTGGCCCATAGACATCCACTTTATCCTCAATTAAGAATCAAAATCCTAATAGGTTGTCACTAATATGAAACTAATATGGAATGCCTCGTTTCCAGTAAAAAGGGTGTCCGGTTTTCTACACTAATCATACGAAACACAGCAGCATTACGCTGGTATTCTGTGAGAGTGTGAGCCTGGGCCTGCCCTGGTCGAGCTGACCCATTCGTGGTACAGCTATAATATAACTGCAACGTGGCTCTACCACGATTATAATATATCTCATAGTCAGTCCTAGTCCTCAGGTGTCAACGCATTTGCAATTTTGTTCTTAGAGGATAGATTACTATGAGATACAGCGTTTGCTTACAATTAGGTGGAATGTGTTCGTTTGCCACCACTATTCGATAAAAAAAATGTGCAACTATGGACTCGAGAGTGATTTCGTGCCATGATTTGAATTTCGATAGCTTTTCAATAAATTTATTAATTTATTTTAAAATTGTTGTTTTTATTTTTTGTAAAATATCAGTGTCATAAGTTTCTACTCCGTTCACATGTTATGTACAGAAGGTAACAGAAGGTAAACAAGGTCATCCAGTATATATATATATATATATATATATCATTAAAAAAAAGTTGAGTTGTCACTAAACAAGGACCTTTTTTTGTAGCATACGTTATGTTCAACTTTATGTTGTATTAGCTTAACTCAAAATCTGTCGATCTTGTAAAAGAATAAACAAGGTAAATGGTTTTTTTTGCAGTAATTTACAATAATTAGCCGATTAGCATCATTTTTTGATATTTATTTGAAGTTAATTTGTTTTTCTTTCAAAATACGAGTATGTGAAATTTTTTTGGTAACGTAAACGATAGATAATATTGTTGCCCTCCGAATGAGCCAAATTCTATCTCAGTAAGACTAAAACTTTGAGAGATATGAACTTTTTTGCAAACACGTAGAGAATATCCAGAAAAAAACAAAATGTCCGCCTCATAGAGAAGGAGGCGATTAGACCTCAGTGTGTAGTGTATTTATGTATTATAATAGCTGTATTATAGGTACCTAGAATATCGCTAGTTCGTGACCGGACACACTATATATCTCGGTTGATGTCGGTTGATGACGTTGATCAGCATGGGAGTCTTCCTCAAAAAAACATAATGTGTAAAAACAGGGTTACGAGCAACAAGCAGAGTAATCCAGATCACGAAACTAATTTAATTGGTACAAAATACAACGAGTCGTGTGACGGTTCCTAGCACGGTATATATATATATATATATATATATATATATATATATATATATATATATATATATATATATATATATATATATATATATATAGGTATATTCGTAGTTTTATCACTGCCTAAATCCTTTTAAGAGTGAGAGGAAACCTGTACGCATCAGTAAAACGTATATAGGCTGAAACTTTATATGTAAATAAAGCTCTATTATATAATGTAAGCTCACGGTCGATTAAACCAATAAATTTAAAATAAACTTGTAATACTCTAAGCATATTTTGCGGCTTAGATGGGTCAACGAAAAAGGGCAAAAGTAAAACGCAGCACTGGAAATTAAATTAAATTGCACGGTAGAGGTGTTCCGCAAACATCCGTTTTCGGTCTAATAAGTCGCGGTCCCAACTTTGTTTCCCTATAAGATTAAATCATAGATTGCGAAAAACCTCACCCGCGTTAAAATTGTTTGACATCTGCAAGCACTGATTAAAACTTTGCGAAAAATTAATCCCTTACAAATTATAAAATTGTAACCCATTTAACTTGATATACAAATATAATAACAACAAAAACAATTAATACCACAAACAACCATAATATAGCTGCAGTATGGCTCTACCACATTGATTTCATGATATCGGTGACGGTTTAGCTTTCATCGAGATTTCAAACAAATAAAAAGCTTAAATGATCCCCAG